TTTCACAATAACAAAAGGGTCAATTTATAAGAAAAATGTAATTTAAAAAGTGGCTATGACGCTCATACCAGAGCTTCAAAACACCTGAAGCAAAAACTAGCAGAACTGAAGACCCTCAAACTGAGCCAGTCAAGCCAAAGTAACAAGTCTACTACAGCTTCTATCTACTAACTAAAAACACTGGGCAGAATATAAAAAGTAACTACCTTAGGACTGTTTTTGTTTTGTTTTGTTTTAAAAGCAAGTAACAATAGACAAATTGGATACAGAAGTGAAAACCTGAAGGATTACCAGTATAGTACTGAATTTCCTTTTATATTTTTTCATCCTTTATATCTCATATTTGATCTAAGGGCAGGCCAAGTTGCAGAACTGTGCAGTGAGCAAGAAAACTACGAGAGAAATCCAATCTGTCTGGCTAAAAAACAGAAAAAGGAGTCCTTGTAAACCGCAGGGTGTTTGGGGAGTTATAACATTTCTCTCTCTCTCTCGTCTCTCCCAGTTCCACCACAAGGCCAGCCCCAATGACACAGCTGCAGCACTGTGTGTGTGTGTGTGTGTGTTGGGGGAAGAGGGGGCATGTGTGGGGGGCTGGGGGAGAAAATGGAGCATCCAGAACTCCAGGGAGAAGAAAAGAAACTACTTTTCAGTAGTCCAAGCAAGGGGCAAGACTCTTGTGGTTCAAAAAGAAAAAGGAGGCCTCTGCTATTTTTTTCTTTCTTTTCTCTCACCACTCTCGTCATACAAGACCACAAAACAGCACAAAGTAACAAAAACTCTAAGTAAGAAATCCATCTTTCTACTTAGGGAAAGAAGGAAAATGGGCCCCAAGAAGCCAAAGAGTATGGGGGAAACCGTGAGTTGGAATAGGCAATCCCCTAATTCTGTGTATGAACTAACATAAGTATTGGGGTTCACCACCATGCTATACATGTGTGGAACAGACCAAAGAAGCATAGCAAAGGTTTTAGAATTGACTGACTTTGGGACCAGAAAGCAAGACAGAACTTGCAGTCTGGATGCAACCAACTGAACTGCCTGCTAAAATAAAATCAACATTGTCTTCAGAGGATTTTACCTGGAAATACAATCTCAAATCTAACAATCAGAAAGTCTAAAAAAAAAAAAAAAAAGAAAGTCTGAAAAAAAATTCAATTACTTAACAACAACAACGATAACAAAAATCAAACAAAGGTGACCAACTGTCAAGGGAAAAAAGCAATCAAAAAATACCAATCCCCAAAAGATGCAGTTGCTGTAAGCATCAGAAAAAGACTTTAAAACTGGTATTACAACCATGCTCTGTGGCATAAAGGTGAAAGAATTCAGAATGAATAAAAATATTAAAATCTGCAGCTGAGGAACAGAAAATGTAAAAAGGAACAAGGTAAATTTAAAACCAGAAAGACAGAATATCTAAAATTAAAAATTCATTGGATGGGCTCAAAAGAAAGGAGGTAACTGGACTAACAGTCAGTAAACTGGAGCACAGATCAACAGATCTAAACTAAAGAGAGAAAAAAGACTGGGAAACAATGAAGAGTCTTACGAATTGTAGGAAAATATAACACTTTTGTTGTCTTAGAGGAAAAGACTATGCACAAAAAAAACTTTCAAATTTCATAAAAGATGTAAATTTACAGATTCAAAAATCTCAATAAACATCAATAAAGATAAATTCGAAGAAAATCATACCCATATAATCAAACTGCTGGAAAATGAAAATATTAAAAGTAGACAGAGAAAAACAACATGTTACAAATAAGGGAACAACAAATGATTCAAATGACTGCAGATTCCTCATCAGAAACTATGAAGAGAAGACAGCAGAACATCTTTACAGTACTCAAAGAAAACAACTATTCAAACAACACTGACTGCTCCACAGAATTCCAGGGGTTAGGTACATCAAAGGAGATAAAAGGCCTACACCCTGCCCAGGGCCCATTTAAAGCAGTTGTGTTATAACTATCGGGCTCAGACTTAAAATTGTGTGTAATTTTATTTTGAGGTTCAAGATTTCCAGAACTACTGATGATGAAAACATGTTATTTGGTATTCACTTTGTGCCACACATTTTATTAATACAAAATACTTTCTATGGATGATATGGATGGTATCATTTAAGTTTCCCTATGAAACGGTTTCTATTTTATCTCTATTTTACAGATGAGATAACTTACTGTTAGAGAAGTTGAATAACTTGCCCAAGCCACAGACAGAGCCTGGATTCAAACCCAGGTCTGAGCTCCAAGTATGTTTTAATCTCTAAGTGAAATGAAGTTGCTCTGTCGCATCCAACTCTTTGCAACCCCATGGACTGTAGCCTACCAGGCTCCTCCGTCCATGGGATTTTCCAGGCAAGAGTACTGGAGTGGGTTGCCATTTCCTTCTCCAGGAGAATCTCTAAAAAAGGTCTAAAATAGAACAAATTAAAAGCAAAATGAAGTATATTCTGCTCTTAATTATAGAGAGTATCAGCTCTTCAAGGCAAAGAATTGTTCTATCCTCTTTCTATTCCCAGCACTTGTAACAGTCTCTAAAAGTCTAAACACTCAATAACATACCAAACAAATCAATCAGTAAATAAATGAAATTTTTTAGAGTTAGTGATCCTTTCAGCAACCAAGTAATGGCAAACACACATCTCTGGACACTATTGGATCCTATTCTATCCACAACTAAATGTATCATAACTGCAGCCTCCACGTAGACAAAACTCATGACGAGTGGAAATCCTGGATTAAGGAGACAAATGATAAAATATTTTTTAGCAAGCCAATACTTTTAAATCTAGTAAAATCACACACCACTGCAATAAGTTCATATCCCTGTAAATTTAAATTCAGTTCTATACAAGTCATTCTTCTTCAATTGTATTATCCCTTCCTCAGCAGAAAGATGCAAAGAGTAACAAAGAGCATGAAAGAGAAGACTCATTATGTAAGCAAACAGTATTTTAGTATATTGCCATAAATTAGCAAAACTTCCCCGTACAACTGAATCCAAGTAGCCAGGATATATGATCATCAAATGAAAAAAAACCAAAAAGTTAACCAATGAGTTAAACCAACGATGTTTAAACAAAAGCATTTATCTATTCAATTTTATCACTGGCAAACTACATATCTTTAATATTGACTTCAGCCCATTTTAATATAGATACTTTCCAGGTAGTTCCTTAACATTGAAGTTAGGAGTTATTTTAAATTGACCACAAGAATTCTCTTAACAAAAACTGCAACTATGAAGAGGCAGCTGAAAAGTCTTGTCTTAGTTCTTTCAGGCTACTGTGTAACAATACCACATGGGTGGCTTACAAACAACAAGACATTTCTTTCTCGCAGCTCTGCATGCTGGAAAGTCCATGAACTGAGGCTCTGGCAAATGGCTGTCTCGTGAGAGCTCACTTTCTAGACAGCACCTCTTTGCTGTGTCCTCACATTGCAGGAGGCACAAGCTAGCTAGCTTGTAGCACTTTGTCCTACATCTACACTGAGCCTACATAAACATTCAGAAATGGATCATGCGGCCTTAAATCAATTAGGATGCTATCTCTTCTGCAGAGTAACTTAGTAAGGAATCTGAATATAACCAAGACCAGCATGTATCGATTCATGTCATTCCCTTGACCACAACAAAATGGTTCAGTTGGTCCAATCAGAGTGATAGTCACAACTTTTTGTTCCATGGTTAAAACACCAGAGCCTTTCTCTCAACCACCAGGTATAAACAAATCATTTAGCCTTACTTATCAATTTCTGCTGCTAACTTCTGTCTCCATGACATGGAGAAGATCAAAGCTGAGTAGTTTACAAAGAAATATTACCAGAACCTAGATCAAACCACACTTCCAGTGTTTAAACCAGTAGGGGTTGGGTTGGGGTGGATCTGCCTTTTCCTGACGTAAAATCATTTTCACTTATAAGGCTGGTATTCCTACTATAAATCCTACTTATTCATGCATGTATTTATCATTTATTATACTGTAATAAACACTTTTACAGTACTATTACACTGATGGAGTTGATATGCTATTTTACTTAGAATTTTCACAAATTAGAATTTAAAATAACTATTTAAACTGAGTAAGAAGGCATATCATATGAAAGAATGCATATATTAATTATTCTTTGATACCCAAGAATTTATTCATTTGTTAAGCATTTATTGAAGATCTATTATACACCAAGTCATTGTTCAGTTGCTAAGCCATGTCCAACTCTGTGAACCCATGAACTGCAGGACACCAGGCTCCCCTGTCCATCACCAATTCCCAGAGTTTACTCAAACTCATGTCCATTGAGTCGGTGATGTCATACAACCATCTCATCCTCTGCCACCCACTTCTCCTTCTGCCTTCAATCTTTCCCAGCATCAGGGTCTTTTCCAATGACTTGGCTCTTCACATCAGGTGGCCAAAGTATTGGAGCTTCAATTTGAGCATCAGTCTTTACAATGAATGCTCAGGGTTAATTTCCTTTACGATTGACTGGTTTGATCTCCAAGAATTCCAAGGGGCTCTCAAGAGTCTTCTGCAGCACCCCAATTTGAAGCATCAATTCTTCAGAGCTCAAACTTCTATACAGTCCAACTCTCACATTTCTACATGACGACTAGAAAAACCATAGCTTTGACTATACAGACCTTTGTTGTTAAAGTGACATCTCTACTTTTTAATATGCTGTCTCGTTTTGTCACAGTTTCCTTCCAAGGAGCAAGTGTCTTTTAATTTCATGGTTGAAATTAATGGGTAAACTGAGTACCATAGGTAAAGTGAGTACCCAGACATAACATCAGTCCTCAAACAACACAGAGACTGATTTTACATGTAGAGATACAAACAGAAGCTTAAGAACCAAAGTGGGAACTCTCGACCAGAACTGTAAAGCTGGTGGCCTTGATCTTAGAAAATTAAGCTAATAAAATTTTCTGATTTTCATCTTAAAATTTTCATCATCACTTTTTCTCTTACAGTTTCTAAGAGTTCAATACAGTACCTGTATTTGATGGATCCAAAATTAACTGAAGAGATGGCTTATTTGTTTGTCTGGCTGAAATATTTCCAAATGAATGGTCTGAAATCTCACTGGAACTTGGACAATCAACAGGAAGGCTGCTTTGCCCCTTCTCTGAATCTCTCAAAATCTCTTCCATGGCTTTTTCCAGTTGTTCATTACCATTAGAAACTATCTACAGACAAAGGAAAACAATTCCTTAAAATCATAATATGGTCCTAGAGCTTAATAAAAATACTGCATTTCTAGAACATATTTAAATTTAAAAAGTTACTGAATACCAAGAATCAGTTGTACCTAATTTCATGAGATATGACAGAAAATCCTGAGTTTAAAAAAACAAAAAACAATAGAGGACTATTAGTTTCAGAAAAGGATTCCCCAGAAACACCCAAATAAGTTTCTAACTATATTTGGTCTAAGATCTTACTTACAGAGATTTTTGGGTTTTTTTTTTCTTTTTTTACCTTTCAGTAACACATTCTAAAAATCAAGTAATCCTAAATTTATGTGTTTTAAAGAGAAAAATGGATAAGTTTAAATAGACAACATATAGTGTTAATATCATTTAAAAGGTCATATTTTATGTTATTGTAACATAAATATGCTTATGATTTCTTTACAAATTTTGCTAGAGTAGCCAAGAAGTATCAGTAATTTCCTTATATTTGAGTTGGCTGACCTTTTTCTTAAAAGCAAAGTGAGACACACCAAGCATAAGTAAATAAATGTCTTAAGCACATTTATGTCAAAACAGAATTAAATGAATTTAAATAGCTATTTAAATATAGATATTTCAATAAATATAAAGGAATTTTTTGACTATTTTAATGAAATTATAAAACTATATATCCTCAACATAATGTAAAATGAGTACTTAATCATCTAATTTTTACAAAATTAGATGTAAAATTTTTTATTAGATTGATATTTTATTAGATTAACATACTAACATACCTTTGTATCATAATTAGTACTAAATACAAGTCATAAATAATATACAGCATTTTGGGCTAATTTCTCTCTCCCTATATCTAGAAGGTGGTTATGCAATTCCCATAGATGTATACCTGGGTTTGTTTGGTTTTGTTGATCATTTATAAATAAGAAAACAGTTTTCATTTGGTCAAAGACCATACATATATCTGTTTGCAAGAATAAAAAATATATATCAAATACATACTTGAATTGGTACACAGCTTCAAAGAAAGACTTTTTTGATAACTCAAACGTTAAGCTGCCTAATAAAAACAGAACATAAAAATGAAAAATAAAAAGGACCACGTCTAAATAAAAACTCAATGACTAAAATCACAAAACATATACTTAAAAAATATTCAGACAAGTGTTAATCACACAGATAAATGCTACAAGCTGACTTAAAGCATAAAAATCATAAAGCAAAGTCTCTCAAGTGAAAGGAATACATAACTACATATTTAAATAAGTAATTTTTAAAATGCAGCAGCAAAAAAAACAAAAAACCCAGCAGCAGTAAGAGAGACAAAAGTATCCAGATAAATTAAACTGATGTAAGATTTAACCATTAAGTCTAACTTGCCAATTATCCTTTCTCTTCTTTTCTCCCTCCTATTTCTTCTTTCTGAATTCTAAAAGATAAACAACCAAAAATAAAAAACTTTAAAAATAACAAACCTAACAATTAAGTCTCTGGATAAATCAAACGTTGATTCTATTCTCAAAGTGAGTATTTGAGGAAAAACTTTGGATTGTATACACTTCCTAAAATAAGTTGCACCTAGTTAAAAAGAATAATTTAAAATAATATCATTTGTAGAAAAGGAAAAAATACCTTCAGTTCTGGTTTTTCATCATCTTTTGTAGAAGTATCACCTCCATGCTGAGGAACCAAAACAAATTCTTCACTGTTGAGTGTAGTCACAGAATCCGATGACCCACTAACCTTCTGTAATGAAGCTCTGACCTCCATTTCAGTTCTGCAAGCTTCTCTGTCCACATCCACCTGGTCAAAACCACTAAGATTAAGAAAAAAAAAAAAAACACTGGTAAATAAAAACATGAACTACTCAGTACCTGGATCAATATTTTGGGGGCCTTTAAACATGGTTCAGGGAAATAATTCTGCTGGCTAGATAATCATCTCAAAACTAGGGAGTCTACCTTCTTGGACTGGGCCACATGAGAGAGATGTACCCTGAGTTTCCAGACTAAAAGAACCATATTGTTCCCTGAAAAACAACACAAACCTGCCCATATCTCAACTAAAAGGATTTACTACTATTAGGCGCACTCTATATTTCTCTGAGAAACACTTTTTGTTCTTTTTAATAAATATGAAAAAAAAAAGAAAAACAAATAATAAACTAGAAGTATGTACAAATTAACACACAAACAAAAATACATTCACTGCTGACTTTATAACCAAATCTAAATGTCTGCACAACTTATCTCCTCACACTAATAAGTACTGTACCTTAAAATATTTTTTCTGTGTCACTTAAGTTGACTGATTAATACAGAATTCAACATTCTAAGGCATGTATATTTTCCTTTCCAGACACAAAACCACTTATCTATAGGAAGCAGAAAGTGGGGAGTGGGGGCGGGGGTGGCAAGTGGAGCAAAGCTTTCACATTGCACTCATGCAGCAGTATTCAAATACCGTGTTCTATATTGATCTCAGTACTGTTTTCTATATAGATCTCTAGTAGCTCAGCTGGTAAAGAAACCACCTACAGTACAGGAGACCCCTGTTTGATTCTTGAGTCAGGAAGATCTGCTGGAGAAGGGATAGGCTACCCACTCCAGTATTCTTGGGTTTCCCTGGTGGCTCAGCTGGTAAAGAATCCGCCTGCAACGTGGGAGACCTGGGTTTGATCCCTGGGTTGAGAAGATCCCCTGGAGAAGGGAAAGGCTACCCACTCCAATATTCTGGCCTAGAAAAAATCTATGGACTGTAAAGTCCATGGAGTCGCAAAGAGTCCATGAGCAGCTCACTTTCACTTCACACCATAGAAACTCAACATTCTCTATCACTTCCAGAAATCCAAATATTCACACAACTAAATTTAACTGAATATGTACACTATGTAAGAGTCACTATACTCCGCATTTCAGGTTACACGAGTGAGTAAGGCAAACAAGATGCCTCCTCTCTCCTGGAGCTTACAGCTAGTGAGGAAACAAGCAGGCAAGTAAGTAAGGAAATCCCAAATCATTCAACAGCCTATGAAGAAAACACAACAGCCTAATAAAGAGGAGCTGTAAGGAGTATACAGACGACTTTAAGGAAGGTAGTATTTGAGCTGAAACCAGGAAGATTAAAAAAAAAAAAAAAGAACCGTATGTTAAACAATCTGCTCAGTGACAAAGGGGGTAATATGACAGAGAGGTAGGACAAGTTCAGTTCAGTACAGTTGCTCAGTCGTACCCAACTCTTTCCAACCCCATGGACTGCAGCACGCCAGCCTTCCCCGACCATCACGAACTCCTGGAGTTTACTCAAACTCATGTCCATCAAATTGGTGATGCCTTCACTCTTCCCCAGCATCAGGGTCTTTCCCAATGAGTCAGCTCTTCGCATCAGGTGGCCAAAGTATTGGAGTTTCAGCTTCAACATCAGTCCTTCCAATGAATATTCAGGACTGATTTCCTTGAGGATTGACTGGCATGATCTCCTTGCAGCCCCAAAACTCTCAAGAGTCTTCTACAACACCACAGTTCAAAAGCATCAATTCTTTGGCACTCGGCTTTCTTTATAGTCCAGCTCTCACATCCATACATGACTACTGGAAAAACCATACCCTTGACTAGACGACCTTTGTGGACAAAGTAATGTCTCTGCTTTTGAATATGCTGTCTAGGTTGGTCATAACTTTCCTTTCAAAAAGTAAGTGTCTTTTAATTTCATGCCTGCAATCACCATCTGCAGTGATTTTGGAGCCCAGAAAAATAAAATCAGCCACTGTTTCCCCATCTATTTGCCATGAAGTGATGGGACCGGATGCCATGATCTTAGTTTTCTGAATGTTAAGCTTTAAGCCATATTGCCTTTCTTTGGGATTGGAATGAAAACTGACCTTTTCCAGTCCTGTGGCCACTGCTGAGTTTTCCAAATTTGCTGGCATACTGAGTGAAGTGCTTTCACAGTATCATCTCTTAGGATTTGAAACAGCTCAACTGGAATTCCATCACCTCCACTAGCTTTGTTCGCAAAGATGCTTCTTAAGGTCCACTGGACTTCGCATTCCAAGATGTCTGGCTCTAGGTGAGTGATCACATCATCGTGTTTATCTGGGTCATGAAAATCTTTTTTTGTATAGTTCTTTTGTGTATTCTTGCCACATCTTCTTAATATCGTCAGCTTCTGTTAGATCCATACCAGTTCTGTCCTTTATTGTGCCCATCTTTGCATGAAATGTTCCCTTGGCACCTCTAATTTCCTTGAAGAGATCTCAAGTCTTTCCCATTCTATTGTTTTCCTCTATTTCTTTGCATCGATCACTGAGGAAGGCTTTCTTATCTCTCCTTGCTATTCTTTGGAATGCTGCATTCAAATGGGTGTATCTTTCCTTTTCTCCTTTGCCTTTCACTTCTTTTCTTTTCACAGCTATTTGTAAGGCCTCCTCAGACAGCCATTTTGCCTTTCGCATTTCTTTTTCTTCGGGATGGTCTTGATCCCTGCCTCCTGTACAATGACACGGACCTCTGTCTGCAGTTCTTCAGGCACTCTGTCTATCACATTTAATCCTTTGAATCTATTTCTCACTTCCACTGTACAATCATAAGGGATTTGATTTAGGTCATACCTGAATGGTCTAGTAGTTTTCCCTAATTTCTTCAATTTAAGTCTGAATTTGGCAATGAGTTCATGATCTGAGCCACAGTGTGCTCAGTCTTCCTTTTGCTGACTGTATAGAGCTTCTCCATCTATGGCTGCAAAGAATAAAATCATTCTGATTTTGGTATTGACCATCAGGTGATATCCATGTGTAGAGTCTTCTCTTGTGTTGTTGGAAGAGGGTGTTTGCTATGACCAGTGCATTCTCTTGGCATAACTCTATTAGCCTTTGACGTGCTTCGTTTTGTACTCCAAAGCCAAATTTGCCTGTTAATACAGGTTATCGCTTGACTTCATAATTTGCATTCCAGTCCCCTATAATAAAAAGAACATCTTTTGGGGGGTTGGTTCTAGAAGGTCTTGTAGGTCTTCATAGAACCATTCAACTTCAGCTTCTTCAACATTACTGGTCAGGGCATAGACTTAAGGATTACCATGATACTGAATGGTTTTTGCCTTAGAAACGAACAGAGATCATTCTGTTGTTTTTGAGACTGCATTCAAGTACTGCATTTTGGACTCTTTTGTTGACTATGATGGCTACTCCATTTCTTCTAAGAGATTCTTGCCCACAGTAGTAGATAAAATGGTCATCTGAGTTAAATTCACCCATTCTAGTCCATTTTAGTTCACTGATTCCTAAAATGTCGATGTTCATTCTTGCCATCTCCTGTTTGGCCACTTCCAATTTGCCTTGATTCATGGACCTAACACTCCACGTACCTATGCAATACTGCTTTTTATAGCGTCGGACTTTACTTCCATTACCCATCACATCATAACTGGGTGTTGTTTTTGCTTTGGCTCCGTCTCTTCATTCTTTCTGGAGTTATATCTCCACTTTTCTCCAGTAGCATATTGGGCACCTACCGACCTGGGGTGTTCATATTTCAATGTCCTATCTTCTTGCCTTTTCATACTGTTCATGGGCTTCTCAAGGCAAGAATATTGAAGTGGTTTGCCGTTCCCTTCTCCAGTGGACCACGTTTTTTGGTGGGTTTTTTTATTTATTTTTATTAGTTGGAGGCTAATTACTTGACAATATTGTAGTGGTTTCTGCCATACATTGACATGAATCAGCCATGGATTTACTGGACCACGTTTTGTGAGAACTCTCCAAGATAACCCATCCATCTTGGGTGGCCCTACATGGCATGGCTCATAGTTTCACTGAGCTATTCAAGGCTGTGGTCCCTATGATTAGTTGGGTTAGTTTTCTGTGACTGTGGTTTCTATTCTGTCTGCCTTCTGATGGATAAGGATAAGAGGCTTATGGAAGCTTCCTGCTGGTAGAGACAGATTGAGGGGGAAACTGGGTCCTGTTCTGATGGGCCATGCTCAGTAAATCTTTAATTAAATTCTGCTGATGGGAAGTGCTGTGTTCCCTCCCTGTTGTTTGACCTGAGGCCAAACTATGGTGGAGGTAGTGAAGGTAATGGCAGCCTCCTTTGAAAGGTCCCACCCAGGCACTGCTGCACTCAGTGCCTCTGACCCTGCAGCAGGCCACCGTCGACCCACGCCTCTGCTGGAGACTCCTGGACACTCACGGGTGAGTCTGGGTTAGTCTTTTGTGGGGTCACTGCTCCTCTCTCCTGGGTCCTGGTGCACACAAGGTTCTGTTTGTCCCCTCCAAGAGTCTGCTTCCCCAGTCCTATGTAAGTTCTGGTGGCTCTATGATGGGGCTAATGGCGACCTCCTCCAAGAGGGCTTATGCCATACCCAGGTCTGCTGCACACAGAGCCCCTGCCCCTCTGGCAGGCCACTGCTGATCCATAACTTTACAAGAGACATCAAACACAGTTCTGGCTCAGTCTCTGTGGGGTCTCTGGGCCCTGGTGCGCACAAGGTTTGTTTGAGCCCTCTCAGCAGACAAGTAGACCAGTGCTGAAGAATGTAGGACCTTGTAACCATGGTAAGTCTGACCCATGCCAAAAAATTCCCCCAGAAATGTTCTTTTTCTCTTTCTAATTAGGTTATTTTGTTCACTTCCTCATAAAAAAAAAAAGGTTGCAGTATCTCATTTTGCCATTAGGTGACACTAACACCATTACTCTCAGCAAAAAAGGAGAAAAAAAAATTACTTTTCCGCTTCAAGTCACAATTGAAAGAATTACTTCCTAACATTACTGAAAAATCAAACTTTCCAATAATATCAAAACAAAGAATAATTACTGC